AATTCGTTATACTTACATGAAAAACTAAGGCGTGTTTTTATGCCCAGGTACATGTATATCTTTTTTTCTTTTTTTCAAAAACGTTTTTTTTTTTAAAGCCGCTACTATAATAGCTAGAATCAGCCATATGGTAATAGTGACTAATATCGCTAATGGCAAACGTTCTGGTTTAAGTATTTAATTTTAAAATAATATTAATTAAAGATTTATTTTCCAGTAAATGAATACGCCCTGGTTTGTCATGTAAGCTCAGATAGTTAAAACAAACGTAATCTGTCGTCAGTGCTAAGAGAAATAAATCAACAAAAAATAACATCTGGAATAATAGTAGTAGTCTGGTTTATTTGTTACTAATCTAGCGATTACTAGATATTGCTATTTATTTTATTAATACTGAATAGAAGAGTTAAAAAAATCAGAATTGTGTGAGAGATGAAATATGCTGTGCATCATTATGGCCAGGTGGTTAGGGTGCTTGACACAGAATCTGCAGGTTCCAATCTCTTTTCCACCAAACATACTCACAGTTTCAGCCATGGGGGCGTTATAACATGATGGTCAATACCGCTGTTCCAAAATCAAAATTATCAAGTTATTATTATTACATCCATATTAAAGCGATTTGTTTTTCACTCTTTTGAGATTTTTACATCTATTGTGAAAATACATATATTCACGCTTACTAGGAGATTGTTTGTTTGTAGTTAAGCAAAAAAGATATATCTGTGTTGTGCCCACCATGGTTTTCGAAACCTGATTTATGGCGTTATAAGCTTTCAGACTTTCGAGGAGACACTATGAACAATTACTTAGCGCATGATATAAAAGGCTAAATGCTAGTACTCCTTATTAGAGATTGCAAAAAATATTTATACAATGGTTTATTGCTAACCTATTTAAACTAATAAATGATAACTATGGGAGTGAAGTAAATAATAAAATTTTTAAACATCAAATTATGAATATGTGTGTCAGTCATATATAAAGACTGTGTGCGCTAAAACTTGAATGTTTAGAGCAAGTGCGTAATTTGTAAATTAATTTCCTAACAGTTCATTATGTTGTAATTTGTTAGTAACGCACAAAGCTGTGAAAGAAAGCGTAAGTGTAATGTCCAAAAAAGTTTATTTTGTTTTTTGTACTTTTTTTTTCTCTTACTCAGCAGAAAATTATATTCTAAGCTATGGTTATAAAAGATTTAGGGAGTGACAATTTACCACGGTCATTATTCAAATAGCTAAATAATGTTTATTTGCTATCTTGAAATTAATAAAACTTGCATGTAAAATAAATGTTATTCTTTTTCAGTATTAAATTTTCCATATATATATATTTAATAAAGGACTACATAGTTCCCTCAATCTCGATAAACTTTTCTAGAGGACAGTAGTATAACCAAGAAAATAGTTCTTATAATTATTGAAAATATTTTCTATGTTGAGAGAAAAGTTGAACAATATTTAAATATAATTTTTTAACTATACGTGGTTTATTTTGTGTCTATTATATAAACTCAAACTGAACAAATATTTAAAAAAAATATATATATATTAAATATATATTTTGTATTGATCCGCTTTATAAGTCTTTTCTTTTCTGAACGCCATTGTGGTAGCACGTGGCAGACTGGTAATGTATTAATTTTATGAATTTAACAGATTAATTTGGTTTAAATATATAGTATGGAAAATCATTGAAGCATAACATTTGATTTGTTTAATATATATTGTCCACTTAAATAAATAACGAAAGATAAATAACAATGTATTATTATAAAAATGTAGCTAGGCCAAAGGGTGTATGGTTTGAAAACTGAAGATAAGCATTAGGCTTAGTAAAGCATAACTAGATCCTAATCATACTCTATTGTTATAGAACTTTTATTTCTTGGCGAAGTGTTTTGAAGATTTAGCTGTATTGAATTTAGGCTTTGATCGTAGATCTTTAATTTGTGTAAGAAACTTGTAAGTTAACTTTTATTTGTTGTAACATACATTAGAGTTATGTTTAACATTAAACGTCTGTAGTGTATCTTTTTAGGTGTAAACCGTAAGTAATTAAATTTTAAACTAACCTCTCAAACTTCAACCGGGCTTGATTTAGCCTCGGTATATGAATATGACAAATACATTGTGGTTGGCGTTTTGTGAATATTGTATATTTTTCATAAACTATAATATGTTTGACATAGTTATATATTCTTCTTGATTTTGAGTTTCACTCACAAGTTCTTAGAATTATACGAATAATAGTTTTATATTGCAAACTATCCAGGTTTGGTAAAATTAAAAATGAATGTGTGTAATATAATTTTAGTCTGTCATTATTTCATATAAGTATTTCTATATTTTGAAATTATTCAACAAAGGTAGTAAGTAACAGTTGGAACTGACTGAAGTGACTAAAACGTAACTGATTGGTAGTTCTATCTTTACAATAATTAAAATAGTATTTGTAAAACTACGGAATGCACATTATGGTCCAGATATAATATACAAATACTGTTGTAAACACATTAAATAGAACAACTGTCATCAGTCTTGACCATTTTTTCAATTCTACTGTGGTTTTTCACTAATTGTCAAACACAATATTGTGTTATTTTCAACAAGTCATATAAATCAGCATTAGCTACACTAACTTAACCATAATAATAGGATTTTAACTAAAATGTGAGTCCATAACACGATTGTTCTCGGCTTCGGTGCCTTGTCCAAGAAATGTTTGACCATTTATGAATAAATACATAAAGCTAAAATAATCTGAGAACAAACCAGTTTTATATCTGTTCTAAGCAATGGAATAGCATGATAACATCCAGTGCAGCCATTAACGATTTCTACGAATACCTCCTTACCCCAGAACTGTTGATAGACAAGAAGCTTTTAAAGTATCAGAAGTGCACAAATGTTAATGATGTTGTTTTGCTACTCAAAAATGATTTGCACCAAAATTATTCAGGCTTATGAAATACCATGCACGTCCGTGAAATGTATAAATGTTCAACTTCCATGACGAGAAACCCACTTTGGGACTAATAATGCTTGGAGTCATGATGATGAGAAAACCTTGTACATTTGCTGTTATGTTAAACTTATATTAAAGTTTTTCTTCATTACCCATTCAAGCCATTTCCAAGCATTAATGTAAATGTTCAGATATTTTTTGAGCAGGTCTAGTGGTTAGGGTGCTCGAATCCACGTTACAACAAACGAGCTCGCTCCTTCAGCTGTGAGGGCATTATAATTTGACAGTCAATCCCACTACGTTCATTGGTAAAGGTGTTTGTGGTGATGACTAGCTGCCTTCATTCTAGTCTGTTGCATTAGGGATGGCTAGCATAGATAGCCCTCTTGTAGCTTTGTGCAAAACACAAAACAACCAAACAAATTTCTGGAACAAGGAATTTTCAAAGAGAGGATCAGCATCACGAAAGTCAAATCTTGTACTTACTCAGAGAGGTTTTACTTCAAATATAAAACTGCTTATGTATATTGTTTTTTTATGTACAGAGAGCAGACTAAGTGCCTTCATGTTTAAAGACTTCATATTTCAGTTTGAAACAAATAATTTCTTTAATAAACCATAACCAAAGATTAATGATTATAGCTTGTTAACTCTTTCAATACGGGGTCAGTCAATGTGACGACCTCATAACCATTTTGTGCTTATTATAGTTTCATGCTATAACTTTTAAGTTAGTAACCGAACGTTAAAGAAATTTGGCAGTTTATCAGTAAACATTACAATGCTTTTATACACAATATAAATTTTTTTATTTAGTCTTAAGGTTTGTAAAACAATGTTTCTCTCATGCCTTTTTTTTTCTTTTCACATCTTGCCTATCTATCGTGCAATGTAATATTAATTTTATAATTAAAAATACTTTTATGCATCAAAAAATTTTGAAATTTCATACGTGAAATCTTTATAAT